TGTCCCATTCCTGAATACTCAAAACTCGAACCAACTGAGAAGCACCCCTCACATCGAGCTACTAATATAAAGTGTACAGTAAAGTTTTTCAGAGGTGCTGAATGAGATTCACTCAAGTACTGAAAACTTATTTTACTGCAGTTTTAGACCTCATTTCCACATAGGTGTTACAGACCACAAGATCGATTTTCCTCTAGCTTTAGAAGTAAAATAGTCCACTTTGTAGAATTTCAAAGCTTTGACACTGATTCCCTCCACATCTCCAAACAAACCTGCTTACCCAAAACACAAAACTAATACGAACCAACATCACCATCTCACTTCAGCGTTACGACCTACGACATCAACAAAGTAAAGTAATCAATTTCAATTAATACTCTCTGCGCTTCTTTGATCTTTTTTCTTTGAAATTTCATATCCCACAAACACTCTCTATAACTAATTCGAGGAATTTTGTATTGATAGTCAAATTGTATAGCGTCAACATTGTGATGTAATTAATGAAGTTCGGAAGTAATGACAGTAGTGGAACTTCAATAGTACAAGAAATAAAAGAAGTAATGGCTAATTATAACTAATTTATCAACTGAGTGCAGTCCCTGTCATATTTGTAGACTAGGCACAAACTTGTAGACGCGATTTTATCGCTGAAAAAGATAGACGAGTTAAAATATCGTAATAAGGATTTGCGAAAGGTAGTTTCAAATGTGGTGGTTTCAAAGAGAGGTGGTTTCAAAAAGACATTGAGTTATGTATGTGACTGAAATGCACATCATTATTTTCAGGACTTATTCACGTCTGTGGTCGAACCAATGATAACTTAAAAATCTGCAAATCTCCTTGGCGAGTGATGCATGTAAACGCGACAAAAACTCAAAACAAGGATGAGCTAAGTGTCGCGCGACATGAATATACAGTTAACTTTCATGAAACATTCGAATCCTCCTAAATATCCCATGGTGCTATCATATCTGTATATATTTCTTTTCCTCTTTATCTATTTATCTATCTACCTATGCAGAAAAACAGAAATCTCGATCGGTAGCATTTAAGTGTTCTATTATCAACGAGGAGTCGCGCGTCATATGAACATGGAATCAAGATTTATAATTGGCAAACGAGTCCAGTTACCAGGAGTTTGCATGAATTCTGCAAGGTCTGAAACTGTAGAAATCTACTAAATCGTTCTTTTGTGTTTGACTAGATTAGTACGTGTCTGTTGGATGTATAGCAAAAGTTCGTAACTGATCCATCTGAACTGTTTATTGTTTGCAACTGCAATAAGTCGAAAATCTTGAGGTATTATGATTTCAAAATGAGGAGATAAGCATTCTACATACCTCCAAATTTCTGATCAGATTGTTTTCACAATGAGAGCGCCGACCAGCAAATTTGTGCATGCTACCATAACCATTTTTATCAAATGTCCCACAGATAGTGCAAGTTCTCTTCGCACATTCTCACATTTCATGTATTGAATGACTACTATGGCAATTTATTATTGAACTAGATTTTTGAGCTAATAGCAAAGTTTATGACCTTTAAACCCGTACATCAACTTTATATTTCACTTGAGGTCACTCCATAAAATCTAGAATTCATGGTAGATGATGTCCTTCCAGCAGCTGAAGAGTATGAAGCTGTGATTACGTTGAGTATGGCTAGAAGTCTCAGAATCTGGAAGAGTACGACCATATAATTCAAATCTTAATTAAGAATGTTAGTATGAATGTGATTTTTTTCCCGCATTCAACCGTATTGTAGTTTCCTAGAAATAAGAAGAGTCTTTTCTCAGAGAAGAAAATTTATTTCGTTGTAAAATGCAAATTAATGACGTACTGTTACTTGGAGACCGTTTCGTCTTGCTACTTCGAAATTTCTGAGTTCGGTCTATAAATTGTCGATTTATCTGCTAGTACTCTTCATTTTTTTCATACCCCTTGTGTGGACTGGTACTCTGCTATTACAGTCATGTAATAAGTAGTTTCAGTAACTTTTTAAAATAAATAGGTGTATCTATTGTATCACTACTTTCTAGTAATATTTTTAGCAAGCTAGGCGAAGGTTGAAGATATGGATCTAACCAGTTTATCTCTTGATGAAATTATTGCGCATCAAAAGGTATGTAAAATATTTTTTCTCGTTTTTTTAACTTCACCGTTTATAAAATATTAAAACTATAAAGCAATTTAGTCGTGTTCAAAAAATTGAATTATTTGGTGTGTTTTGTTTTATCTCTGTCAGCATTGTTAGTAATTATAAATGATTAAATTATTAGACAACAAAGAAGCGAAATTCGGCTGTTGCGTTTAATCGTTTTTGCAATACGAAAAATAGAAGAAAAAATAGACGACATATTATCAAAAGATCAGAAGTAACTTTTGTTTACAGTATTATGCTGTTTGAGCACTGAATAGTGATTATGGAGTATTTACTTTCTCCACATGCTTCGTTTATATTATTCTGATTGTGTATATTAGGATGGTGCAATGGAGTGCATTTTAACATGTATCTCATGCTTGCACGTATTTTATTTTTTATCATCTAGTTCCTAAGCAGTTATTGTGTATAAAGTAAGTGATATCATTTCTTTACATGAGTAGAAATTCTAATCAGCACTAAAGTTTTTATACTCTTTTGTACAGCTTTTTGTTCTTTTTTTGCTGAAAATTTTATAAATCAATATGAATTTTACTTATATTATTATTTCTTTATACGTTCGTATTGAAATTATTTGAAGAGTATTCCAACTGGTCAGTGGGACCATGGTGGATTTGAAGAATTGTATGGCTGTGCATCTCGTGACACTGCTCCATTTTCTTCATTGCGTCGTGGTCAACAAGTTATCAATCGTATTGATTTGGCCAGAAAAGTAGGAATTCATATCATAAATGTAGCGCCAACTGTTGGTCCAGGTGATCTTAAGGTTTGTAATCGTTTAATAGTGTAAGTAGTTACGCTCTTAAAGCTGAGTATTCAAAGATAAGATTCGAACGATACACAGTTTTATTTCTATTTAATAGCATTGAAGGGAAACAAATACAGATGATGTGTGTCCGTAGCTGTTTTCAAAAAATCTACTTGTAATTGTTTTCAAGGAATGTACTTGTTCTCTGTCCTATTCAGCAGTACAAATATATATAGCTAGTGAGTGATTTATGCAGCAGGAATTAAACATTGGTAGTTATCATTTGATTTGTTATTTAATGGGAGTGAGTTAATTTCGGATTGTTGAAATGAGTGACTTCACTTTCAGGAACTTTTCAAGCAGTATTTGATTTCTTCAATTAGCATCAATTACAATATAAATGGTGAATCATTAGGTACAGCTGATGTCGTGACGGATCGAGCTACTGCTAGGGAACTGATCGCCAATCTGAACGGAGTAGTACTCGATAGTAACTTGAATCTGACATTATTTTTCTTCATCTTAATGAGAAGTTTTTGTTAGTCTTAATGTTTTATTTTACGGAAAATCAAAAGTTAAAAAATTGTAATTAGAAAAATCATTAGCTTTTTGTAGCTTTGTTGAGTCCATGTGTTGCAGATTTTGCAATGCATTTTTATATGATTGATTGCTCACCGATATTACTTGGTCCTACGACTAATATGAAAAATCGTTTGGCCTTTAATATTCACTTAGATAAAACTAGAAGACCTTATTTAACTCCAGATCGTATGGTAAGATCTTCAAAAAGCACTCAGATTCGTTATTATCAAGTGTGTACTGTCATAAATTTACCATTGTATAAAATATGTTCTAGAGATATTTTGTTCCACTTGGCAAAAAAAGTGATGCGTTTGTACTCTGAAACTCTTCAAAATTGAAATATCGTTTTTTAATTAATTCATTTGAATCAACATTTCGAATTTTTTGGTGGTACAAGTTTTTAATATAGATTTTTTGGACTTATATGTTATAAAATATGTGTTTAAAATTTTAATTTGATGTTCACAGTCGATTTCAGCACAAAAGATACATTCATATGCGAATGATTGGGGGACAGCTTGATCGGGAACTTGAGGAGTACATGATTAAACGTAATGAAAATAAAAAGCGATTTGCAAAGAGTGAATTATAGTTCTGTGATAATTTTCATTTGTGTTAGTGCAATTATTGTCAATTTTTTTTTTTTTTTAATGTTGAGTGAGCAACAAAATTGTTGTTCTGGTGTACATGAAAAGAGGATCGTAAGAAATTAGAATCAGTGTAGGGAATGAATTATTTTCGTTTTATCAAAAGCATTCTTTGATTTGAGAACGGGATCAGGCCAATTTACCTTTATAGGAAATTAAAGGTGGTGTAGGATATGTCACTTTTTAGTTGACGTCACCAGTATCGGTTTATTTTAAAATAATGCTTGAACCTGCTCAAAGGAAGAGTTCTGTGCAACATGAATTTTCGAACTTGGGTGACCAGAAAGAAATCTATTAATAGTAGCAACATGTGAATTGGGATACTTGAAATCTGTCAAATCCCACTTGATATGCAGGGTATATTGGCCACGTTCGAGATTACGTTGTTGTTTCTATTCTCTCATTACATTCTTATTATTCTGACGATATAGACAGAAGATTCCTCTTTGTTCAAACCATCTTTTGAATTCCATGGTAGCAGATACTGAATTATTGTAAAGAGTGGCGATTGGAATATTTTGTAAATCCATTAGGTTCGAACTAAGGTTGCAAGTTCTTCGAGATACATGTAATTAAGAATATATGTCAAGTCGTTTGATACACTGAGAAATATAAAAATGTGGTTTAAGTGCTAGTGCTTCTGAATTCATCTTTTCGTCCTTTTAACTGCTTGAAGCTATATATAAGGCTTAATGCTCTTATGTTTTCAAGTTTAGGAACACCGTCATATTTAGAGAGACTTGTTTATGGAGGACGAACTTCCACCTAAACAAGTTTCAAGAACATCTCCAAAAACAATCATTTATCTGAGTATAAAAGTTTTATTTAATTTTTTCGACACTTTCAAAATTCTTGATTGGGATAGAAGCAAATTCATAACAATTTGCTTCCGAAACAATGGACTTCACTAACTTTTGAAGTTTTTGTTTTGAAAGGCACGGCTTTCAATAGTGAGAAAAGAATAGAGGAGACCAGGTGTAAAACGTTTAAACGGGTTTAAGCACGGAAAAAAGCGAAAATTGTACTGTCCGCAATTTTGAATCTTAATGTAAGAATTTAGGATTTAAAAATTCTTAGAGTCAGGGAATAAATATGCTAGCTCCATGCGGAATAGATTTTTATTAGAGACGTTGTCGCATGGATTTTGAAAGTCCGTAGAGGAGTCCGAAACCAATGAAATCATTTTAAAAAAACTAATGAGGCGGCAACTATTACAGCCACTTTCGCAATTCTGACTGAATAGTAAAAAGACTTAAAATCATACTACAGTTTTCCAGTTTTGCAGCAAAGTAGTTATAGTTTCCTATGTTTGTTGACATTACAATCTATAAATTTTTAATGTGTATCTTAAATGCATAAGACGAAATACGCAAACAACAAATTCAGTAAAGTACAATTCAAAAACTGAAACTCAAATCATTTATGAAAATGAAGTAACGTAAGGAGAGATTATATCAAAGTGCAAATATCTGTTGACAAAACCGCTATGGTAAATTTGTCTGATGTATTCGGTACAGAAAAGACAAGACTAGAATAGGGAATTTTAGATAAATAGACGAGTTCATAAATAAGAAATCTGAGAAGGTCTTATCACTAATCCACATTGAGGAATTCACAACAATCACTATAATGTCTTTTAAGACAAAACTTGAAATAGCTTCATTTACTCAGAGCTTTCAAATGAAAAATTATTACATGTCTTGTAAGAAACATGACATGGTGAACGTTTAAACTGTGAAAATGTTGCAATAAATTAATGAGGCAGACTTTCCGAAAAAAAATCATCAGTATTGGAAAAATTTTGATTAATTTCCAGCGCATAATCAAATATATTTTCATGATAACAAGGTTTGCATAGAGTTGTTGCAGAGAATTTGAACCCATCAAAGTTCATGCATTTGTCAGCGTTAGCTTTCATCTGTGGCCAGCACGCATGACTAATTGCAAATGACCTAATGATTAAAATACTGAACCGAGCATCATTTTTAACTCTGACAACAATTCAAGTCTTTTATGGGAATACGTTAAAATGTCAATACAATAGACGTCACCACTCACATTAATATGCGTCGAGAGGTACCCTCCATTTTGGTCTACTCTGTAACTTCAAATTCGTATCCAACAGTTGAAACACATTACTAAAAATTTTCGATAATTGAATGTTAATTCTAAATGTAATGGCAAAACAAGCGTAATCATATGTTCAAAATAATATGAAAAAAAATTATAAAAAAAGATCAAAAAAGCTTTCATAGAAAGAAAAGCAAAAATAAAATGACAAAATGTTTTCCTTAAAAACTATCACAATTACAAACATGCATACTTTCATCTATGGTGTTTGAGACCTATTTGTAATCTCGAAATGAATTAATTTTTATTGCTTATATATAGCAAAAAATCACAGTAACAAACAAAAAATTATCACTTTTTACAAAAATTTAGGCGATAATACGTGTCTGTCACAAATTAAATTAGAAACCGTACTACTTATGGCAGCAAAAAATTTAATTTGCATCCCAGAAACACCGAGTAAACTCAATTTCAAAGTCTAAGAAAAAAAAACCAGACTGAACTTAGTCGTTTCAACATCTATTATAAGTTAGTTAGTATAAATAATATATTTCTTTAACAGAAAAAATTAAACCATCAGAAACATTAAAATGCTAATTACCATTTCGCAATTAGATGCCTAACATTACAGATTACTATACGTAGTCAGCTCGTTGCCAGCCAAGACTTTCCTTTCGATCACAAGGCAAAAAATCCTGAATTTCAAACATATATAACTTCGTCTTCTGGTGAAAGACATCGTTTTTACAATCATTATTTATAATCATATTTCAAAGACCAAAAATTGTAAAATTATAAATATTTTTAAACTCAACATGGGCCTAGTAACATGTGTTGTCTGCGAAATCAGCAAATGCAACTAAACAGAATAAGCACACTTAATGCAAAATAAACAGATACCACATCAATTATTTTTTTTAGTCATACTTTATCGCTGGAAACGGTAGAAGTATACAGAGGAGGGATTTTTGGCGAAACTGAATCAATCAGCGTCAATTTAGTATCTTCATCCATTACTTCCGAAGTATTTACCTAATATTATCATCAGTCATGACAGGCAAAAATAGCTGTTTGGTATACAGGCATCCATCAAAATGATAAATATCAGTGATGTAAAACATTGTAGCTTTCATAACATTATGAATACATACAATGTAGCAAAAAAGCGTAGCAATTTAGTGACAAACCTTCTTCAGAAACTCGGGGATTTCAAAAATTTTTCCTTTAGGATCTGAATATTCTCGTGAAGTCTGGTTCCCTGAAATCCCACTTCGAGGAGTTTCCGGTAACCATTGATTCTCCATATCTGTATCTTCACCACAATAAGGAATATCAGTCAAAGCTGCACTCACTGTACGTTGGAATTCTCCCAACGACTTCCGCCTGAAAACAAGTATCTAAAACACATAAATCTGATTCTATTGTTTAATAAAAAGCACCAAAAATGAATGAAGATGATAAAATTTCCTATATTTTTTAGTTAAAAAGTAATATTCTTAATGATAAGAGAAATCAAACTGAATTTTATTGATATAAAGTGGTGATGATCTTGGTCTAACATAATTCAGTATTTTAGCAGAAATTTGAGAAATTTAAAATAAATAAAATAAGAGTAAACGCACCGATCATCGCAAACATAACTGATCAATGTTTTACCATTAACTTGTAAAGCAATTAAGAAATACATCAAAAAGAAAAATATCTCCCGAACCTTGATTTGTTAGTATAATTTGATGTCATAGAATGAGAATGAATGTGCCCCACAAAATACTGTTGCTGTAGTGCGCCCTGATGATGATGTAAGAATGAAGGTCCAGCAAAATCAGAAGGTTCGCGATTCGTAACAGCCTGGCTTGCTTTCCGGACAAATTTCAACAAACTGGACGTGTGGTCCGTCTGAAAATATTAGTCATACATTCACTTCTGCAAAACATGACAATAACCATGAAAAGAAATCAAGCGAAAATGTCGATGATTATATAAATCCACTTTATGTAATCAAATAATAAAGTGCCAAAAATAAAATTTATGCAAAAAAAAAAACCTTCGTGTTCGAGTAGCAGCGTACTGCATTGATCTTACCAGTGCGTAAATCGTAGTCAGCTGGCAATTCAACGAATGCAACATCACCATGCTGATAGAAAGGAAAATTAATTTCTGGAGTAGAAAACTGCATGGAATGAACTTCCTTACTGACTTCATGCTTCGGTGAGTGTTGCCTCTCTGCAACAGAACAATGAATAGATGTAAACTTTAGTACAAAACAATAAATTTCACATGACAGGCAATATTACAATTTCGCCTCAAAGTAACCTTGATACTGTTGTTGAGTCATCACGACAACAAATCGCTGCCCAACAGAACCAACAGTTGCTTGCCCACTGATTACATCCGATGTGTTTGGAAGAACGATAACGCATGAATTGAAATCAATTAAATACTTGGCCAAAACTGGCTTCAATACGGTACTCAAAGATAAACCATGTCTGGCTCGCATTAGTACAAGTCTAAAACGATAGAAAATTACTAGATAGTTCGAATTAAATTAGTTATGCTAGCAAATCTCAAAGGCAAAACATCGAAATTCCTGCTATTCCAATTTAAAACTTAATAGTGCAAATACGGATACTTGACTTCTTATGATTTACAGCTCTACTAGGTAACTGAAAGTTTCTTACTGAATTTATTTCAGATTTTATTTCATTTATGAAAGGACACATTAAATAGAAAAGCATTGTCAGAAGATTAAATGATTCAGAAAGCTTAAAACAAGACTGACAATGTAACGAAATGGTAAGTGATAAGTCGAAAAAATTATTTGTCAACGGCGATGAAATACGAAGCATATTAAAGCAAAAGCAATACTGCGTCAAAAAATCGAAAAAAGTATAATTAAGAAATTTTTGACCTAGAATTCGTCACACCCATTTTATTTGAACAGGAAGGCATTACTATTTCAGCAGCGAAATATAGTATGGGTAACAGACGAACACAACGATTATTCAATGCATCAACAGCCTGTCGAGCTGGATCAATTGTTGCACCAGACTGAAAGCCTTAACTAATTATAAAAACTAAATTTCATTTAAAATAAGAAAACAGGGTACCATCTAATGATTGGAAATATTTCATAAGAAGCTCAAAGGTATAAAACTTTCAGTAGTTCAATGATACGCTCCAAATGAAAAAATGAAACAAATTTTTTGTTGCACAACTGACCTGCGCATCAACAACTTCAGTTGCTCGTGGATCCATTCCACGTTGAGCTGCAATCATTGCCGTCCATTTACCCACTGATTCCTTCTAGAATATTAAAAAGTTAAACTTTACAAAAAAAAAGAAAAGGGTAAACTTCCTAGAAATACAAAAAATAAAAGCAAACTCCATGGCCGTTTGTCATCAAGTAATAACCAACAAGTGCCAACCGGATCTTGAAGCGCTATTCGTTCCACACAGCGTGCGTCATTAAGCACGAGAGTACAAAATTTGGCGCATATTTTCGTGAATGTTGAGCTTGAAGTAGTTTGAGGTGAGACACTCGAATGAATTCGAGTCATCTGTACAGAAGCAATTATATCTCATATGGAAACATTAAAAAATCATTGACTGAATAACTACATGTAAAGCTTAAAATAATAAAAAAAATTACCACAATGAGCAAAAGTTGCATGTTAGAAACTCCTTGTTGCCCATTACAAAATGATTTATGGTAACTATTTGTGTATTTTTTCAATTTCATAGAAGCAAACAAGATAAATTTAATATCTGCTGAGAGCTTCTGTTCATTTCGAGCTTACTTAGATTTGAGTGTAAATATATAGAAACTATTATGTATATAATAGTCTAGTCTTCACCGTTTCGGAAGAAAGCTGAGAGGGGATGGTCATAGTGCCGTTCTCTCTATACCAAAAAATTCATGCGTGCAGTTACCCTCTAAGTACTGAAGAAGCAATCGAATTCTGCGACCACAAGTAATTCAGATCGTCCGTGCTCATAGAAACGATGTCAATGAAGGCGTGTCACGATAAGACACGTACTTCGAGCAAAATACGTAATACGTAATAAGGCTCCTCTAGATGTAAAGGAGAATGACCTGGTACTGATGCAAGAGGTACAGGGACGTGAAATAAACCAGACAAAGTAGACACTAAAAATAACCTCAGAAACGGTGACCAGCTGTATATAATTGGAGCAATGAAGCAGAGGATGAGTATGACCCCCAATCAATGACCGATATTATAAGGCAGCTCTAGGTGGCATAACAAATCTATGGAAATTTGACAAGACGTATGAAAAAACTATCGTGATGGAAGGCAAACATAGAAAGGAAGTTTGAATAACATCCACAAAACCCTCATTGAGCGGTTTTTGGCCGATAAAACACTTGAAGGTATAAATCTGAGGAGGCCACGTATGAGGGGCATGAATCTCATACTTGCTCTCAAACGTGACTGTCATGAGGCCCCATGCATGCTGACAGAGCGTGTGAGAGTTTATGAAAGTGAAATTAAAAGTAACAAGTCCCTATGTGCACCCCAAGCTGTTCACAGGGTAAAAAGATTAATCTCCATGCACCTCCGTGTGATATCGATACACATATATATGTTATATTTATAATGAACAGGTTAAGCTAGATGTTTGGATTGTAGACAGCGTGACACTAAGAAACAAACTTAATGATTCGAACAAAAGAATCTGCTTTATATCGTGCAAGATAAACGTGCATAAAAACAGTGACTAAGAATTCGAATCGAGAACACTACACAACAGCATATAGTTCGAGACTATTAACTTTTGAATAATCTCGTCACCACTAAGAAACTGAATTGAAAAAAAAAACACGCACACACATTTATTTATGGAATGCTAATATACAGTCACTGATAGCATTCAACAAAGTTAAGGGGTAATTGTCTTTTAAAGAAATCCCGAGAAAAATAAAACCTCTATAAATATCGAGCGCTGCTTTCCGGAGATCGTAGAACCACGACGGCGTAATGAACCGTACTTACTTAAGATCCCAAATCTCAATTTAGCGTCAAATTCAAAAAACAGTGCATTCCGCGTCTTATCATGTGGTCACATGAACTAAGTTGTCCTCTGCAAAGGACAGTCGTGAACTGTGTTGAGATTCCGAAAACTAAAGTGATGTTTACTGCTCAGTCGTCACCTGCACCACTGAACTGTCATAATTGCAATTCTGTACCAGTGAACCAATGCCGTCAGACCACGCTTTTTTCCAATGTGAGCACCTGGGCTTCAAGGCATGCCAGATTAATGATTTACGCTTATCTTTTCCACGATACTGCTATTAACGAAAAAAGAAACTGTACAGGCCGACTAAACCAATTACCATTTGCTGCTGGTTTACAAATCTCTGCCAACAAGGAAACAAAATTTCTTTCTTTATCTGCTAACCAACGCATCACATACTCGAGCAGCAAATAGGCTGCATCATGGTTTTTCAACTACTACTACTAATCAACTTTCACAAAACTGTCATATAGCTTCGTTTCCAGTCATCTGATTAAAGCTATCCAATTCTCATTAGCAAAAGTGAAGATATACATTTCCCTGTTTCTCTGTGACATCACTCTTCTTTTACGCGCAAGCGTTTTGCGGATTCCTTCCAAAATAATAAGCTTTCCTTGGATTTTCAAACGTATGTTTATGTCAAAGTGTAAAAAATTAACAGGATACTTGCAACTTGTAATTTAATCACTATAGTACTAGAAACTTTGTTGCAACATGCAAAACCACAATTCAGTTCCAGAAACATGCTACCAATTTAGTTAAATTTTGTAAAGCTATAACATGGAAGCGATGAGAAAATTTCATTCATGCATCACTTCAATTTATGAATTTAAGCAGCAATAGTTACTTGACAACAAATTTAGGTGATGGTTATGAAACATCTCTGATGAAGTTATGAAAACAAAATTGAGGAACGTTCCTATTGAGCTCAATAATCTTTTTTAATTGAGCGATAAAACAGAACTTTGAAATCTTCAGATACAGAGACCATAAGAACAGAAGTGCATGTTGCAAAACCCAGAAAAATACTAGAAAAGAAAAAAACCTACTTGAAGAGTTGGTGTACTTGCCACCCATGATCCAGATATTTTGTTAGAACCATCACCAAAAGTTGGGGCTGTGCCACCAGCACGCAAATAACGAGGCCAACAATCGTACTTCAAAAGATGAAATATCTAAAATATGAATTCAGTGGCGAATGATCAAGAAAGAATTAAATCGTGACTCTTACTGAAATTATTTTTCATGAGAACATACAGATTTATAACACACAAAACAAATTTTTTTATAAAGCAATTGTGAAAGAAAGTGAAGTTCATATTTTTTAACGTAATACTTGAGTAAATTTATGATCTTATAGATGTAACCTCTTAAGTAATAGAAAAGAAAATCACTCAAGAATAATCATTTTAAAAAATTAAAACTCGCTCGCCAAAACCTTAAGCGTTGTCTAAACTATCAGAAAAGTTTGCATGGCTTTGTTTCCAGTTTAAACATTGAGATGAATCTTGTATTCGTGGTTTATGGAATGAAGCATTATGGAGGTGATATTAATTTTCAAAACTATTAATCTTACGCTATTACTAATAAAACTAAATTAAAAAAAAAACCTGGTATTGTGCTACATCAAAGAGCTGAGATGTAAAATTATGTGACATGACCGCATCCTTAATACTTTTACTTGTACAGTTATCAACATTTACTGGTTCTACACTGTTATGAGAAAAATGTTTTTCGAAAATCTGACTAGCAACTTTTGCTCTCCTTTCTAACTGAAAAAAAAAGAGTACGCAAAGTTTGAATAAAATTTTTTTCACTATTTAAAACTTATTATCTATGAAATTGATATTTCAATAACGAGAGTCTAATCCAAGGTTTCTTAAAACACTGAAAAAATCCTAAAAGTATTACTTAACAATGCTCATGACCCACTTAACATGGATATCTTGAATATTAGTGAGCGAAATCAAAAATATCATACACTTTTATAATTAATTCATTAAGATAAATTGACGATACTGGTGACTAGTCGATTCACTGAATTACAATGAATTAAATTACCCAAATCATACAGAATGTAAACAACTTTTTTTTTTCTATTACACCTGAACAATGCTTTTTAAAAAAAGTGTAGCTGTGACAAAATTAAAAAAATTATATAAATAACGTATACATCTGAATCAGGTATTGAACGATATTCTTCCACAGCCATATAAAAGTTTATGTTTTCAGCACAAAACTGTTGCTCAAGAAACTGCTGCAAGAAATTGCATACATAAAAATTTGTTGGTGAGCAGGTTTACATATACATAGTATAATGTAGTGCTACATATAGATTGAAGTGTGATATTTGAAAATGTAGAAACTGCAGGCTTCAATAATTAGTCAAATTAACAAAATTACATTAGCTTTGAATTACCAAATTCAGCATCACTACTCAAAAATATCATTTTAAAGATCAACCTGAAATGGTTTTCTGTATAAATCATTTTGCAATATTTTCTCTACATCACTGCAAGTCTTATCAAGAGTCTGATTGCTTCCATGCATTTCACTTGCCATTTCCATTTGGGGTAATGAACTCGTGAGAGATTATAAGCTGAATTATCTTACTGATTTAAGTGTATGGCTTCATTACAATGTTTGAAAGCCTCTGAGTAATACTTATACAACAAGTGTTTCCTAATTTTAACAGAAAACATAAATATTTTTAATGAAAACTTTCACTGAAAAAACCTTTCACAAATAAGCCATTAGAAAATGAAAAGCTTACTGTTAACAGAACTTTGGACGGATTGTTCCACCTTAAGTGAAGAACAAGAATTTACGTAGCAATCTTCCGAGAGAAATGAATACTTTGTTTTCGATAGAATAGAAATGATTCTGCAATAATATTTGTTCGGTACAATGGAATGAACAACCAGCTTCTCAAAGAGGAATTTGTGGGATGAATCAAGAAAGATCTTCGGAGTTGAAATACAAAACATGAAAGGAAGGAGTTGGCTGACTTAAAATCTAGTGCTTATTTAGATAAAATACAAAGAAATCAAAAAATAAGTAGAATAATTTTTCTATAAGTTCAAAATTATCGAAAACTTACGCAGGTAATCTATTACAAAGATCATTATCCTTCAATAAATAAGTGGCAGCAGCATTTGTCATGTAAACGGCAAACTCTTAAAAACATAACAATGTAAAAAACAATATGAACTGACGAAAAATAAGTTCTAAACAGCTGAAAGCAGTGAATTAAAGTCATCAACAAATAAACACTACGGGAAGCAAAAAAAAAGACCATACTGACCTTGAGATGAAAACGAACTTCCTGAACTCATAAATGATATATGATTCTAGTAGATATCATGTTGAAAATATGATAGTTAAACGAGAACAGCTAACTCCTATCTTCTCTTTTTTCCCTTGAAGAGATGAAAAAAAACGGTCATTCTAAAACGGTATTAATAAAAGATTGGTAAAAAGTCAGACCAAAAAAAAGGAAATGGTATAACTCAAAAGTTCAATGAAATTAACTAACGATATTCATACAATTTTTCCATCTTTCTTATCCTATCTACCTTTATTCATGAAAGTACAAACCTGGTTTAATTTTAAAGAGCAACAAACTTTCACCAGGATTCACTATACGTACGAAGTTGTTTAATGTAATAATGATATAATTAGAATAATGTTATAATTAATTCATTATTTACCGAAATACTTTTTGTGAGTGCAGTTCCGCACCTTCAAAATATATATATAACATTTTTTACGGTTCAAATATAAATAACATTATCCCTCTATCATGACATTATCGACCAAAAGCTTACTCAAGAGTGAAGTAGATATCTGAACTGAAGTACATGTTTTCAGGAACAAAAAAGAAACAGTGAAAAAAGTTTCTGACGTTTAGTTAAGTTTTTTATAAACAGTTAATCCATCAAAAAATCATTCCAAATTGAGTACAAATATCAGGATATATATTTTCACGCATAAATGTCAGTTGAATATTGAAGCCACTTGCCTTGAATGGATGGTTGATGTATTTTTGGCTATCAACTGTAAGATGGAATACAAAACACTAAGAAAAGAAACTCCTTTACATATTTTTGAAACAAACAAGACAACGAATATTTTGTCTATAACAGCAATATGCAGCTGATAAATGTACCCGAGAAAACTAATGAAAAATACCGCAATGAAATAGACTATTTCGATAATGAAGCTATGAAGGGGAAAATAGGAAGAGGAGCATTAGAATGCTGTTATTTAGCCGAACAAATCAATGAGAAATGGCATAAAACAAGATTTTTCAAATTTCAAGGCAAGAGGGATTATTCCAGATGAAGATAATCATTATTTTAAATTATGACACTTAATGGTGCAATAAATTAGAAAAGAAAACGAGACCAAGACAGAAAATTGAAGAGAATTGAAAAAAGATGCGATGGAGTGGATAAGATGGG